TTTTTTGTCAGCTGGTAAGCCAGGGAGTATGGGAGAGAACGTGATGCCCAGATGTTTTAAATTATTCCGTGCCAGGGTTGTACCCGTTGCCAAATGAGGGTGTCGTGGCTTGCTGTCTGCTGCTTTGTTTTGCTTGTTTTTCAGCCAGCCCTCCGCCTCCCTGAAGGCTCAGCCAGCCCAGATCACTGCTGTGCACAGCCCTGGGCAGGCCCTGTGGGTCCTTCAGCTCAGCCACTGGTGATGACCTCTGTGCACGCAGCTATCGAAGCGGCTTCTTTCTTAAGAACTTGCACTTCCGTTTTATCATATGACTTTCCTCTTTCAAGTCCAAGGTCCCCCCAAAAGCAAAATATATTTTTGCACAGGTTTGCAGCCTTAGTCATGCAACCACCCTGGGCAGACATCTCTCTCCGGGCCTCCTGGTTTCTGAGCAGCCTTCTGATTCCAGTATTTTGTGACCCTAGCTGAGCAGGGTCTTGTCACCAGAGGGTGCTGTGGGCATTGAGTCATGTCCTGGGCACCCAGAAAGTAAGTAGTTTCAGGCCTTGGCTAAAAGCTTGTCCTTGAAATGACCTAGTATCTCAGCAACAGATTCAACAGTGGAGGTCGATGGGTAATGAATTTAGTTTCCTGATTGGAGGATGAAGTTGCTGCTAATCCAGAGACAGACACCTCACTTGTCTGGTGGACTCTTGGGAGTTGGGTGTCCCACAAGGACTTCGCAGTCCAGAGCCCTCCTAAGCGTGGGCCCAATGGCACGCGGCACATGTTTCTGCAGAAGTGACCTTTTAGGGGGCCCAAGGAGCAGCCAGCTAGAAGGCCAGAAGGCTACCTTGGGCTTCATTTTCTTCTGCTTTCCCCACAAGCTTTCTGGTGAAATGGGGCTTTCCTAGTTAAGTGACCGGGAGACCAGCACCACCTTGTGTCTGCAGAGCAGTTTTTCTCCCATTTGCTGTAAATATTTTGCCAGACCGACAAGATTCGGGAGATTGTTAAGTATCACACACTTGTGCATATCTTAATGGATTATATTATCTTAACGGATAATATAACTTGCTTTGGATCCTTTTTTTTTTTTTTTGTGAGAAATAAAATGTGACAGAAACCGTGTGCCACTCATGTTCTCATTTCCCTGCATGGTTTTATGTTCCCCATTGGATTTTTGCACTCGTAACTACTGTGCTGTCCTGGCTCACAGATTTTTGCCTTGTGGTGTTTTGTGGCTCCTGAGTCCCAGACCGTGAAGAGCGCTCGCTTCCCAGGATCCTGCTGTCGAGTTGAGAGCTACTTGTCTTGTGCTCTGTCAGGAAAAGGACTATGTTGTTCCCTGCCCAACTTCCCTTGGCAAAAGTAGTGTAAGAACCCTGAAGATTTTGCCAGTTATTTCCCTCAAGCTTAGGCTCCTGGCCTGTGCACCAGGTTGAGCTTACATTGTTGTGTGCTCAGAACTAGCAATGTGAGCAGCTGTTGGCCAGGGCTGTGGCTGAGCGGGGAGCAGTAGCAGCGGGTGGCTGTCCCACCTGGGGACCCCTCCTTCTCATGGCAGCTCCCAGGTCTCCATGCCCTCAGCGCTGAAACAGCACTCTGGTGGTTACTCCTGAAAGTGAAGCCTTCCAAGGCAGCCTGGACCTTACTGCCGTTTGTTAGTTTTTGCCTGTTTCATATTCTCAGCACTTTTGTAGCTATACTACCAGGATATTTAAAATGTATTTACTCTTACTGTCGTACAATTCTGTAATGTGTGTTTGAAGCTTCCTAGGGGTGACCTGTAACTTTCAACCTCACACAGGTGGACTTGACAGCCATTTTTATGGTACTTTTTCCTCCACTGGACTTTTTCTACTGTAACTTAAATTATACAAGAAGATTCCAAAAGTGTAATTTAAGGGAGGCTAAGTAATGATTTGAGTTTAAGCTGGTTGCTGAGTTAGCTAGCGCCTGGTTTGAATGGCTCCTTGGGTCCAGGTCTCTACGCGGTGCGCGCCCAGCAGGTTGTAGAGCGTCCCAGGTGCCGCTGGGGGCAGTGGGCTTCCGTGAAAGACTCAGGACAAAGAGCGTCTTTGTTAGAAAACCATGGCAGTGGCCTTGCACTGTAGGAAGCCAGCCCAAGGTCAATTCCACGGGAGTAGATTTTCATTGTTCTGTCACAAGTCACTGCCACAGCCACTTCCTGTTGAACTGGCATCTTGGGCACCATCGTTGCCTTGCGTCTTTGGGAGCGACCTGCAGCTGCCCTGTGGCACCTTTCTGTGCGTCGTGATGATGTACCGAGGGAAGGGTGGTGCAGAAGGGGCCTTGCACTACCCAGGCTACTTACAGCAGCCCGCCAGACTAGACTGTGCGGCCTGCTCTGTTGGTCCGCGGCAGGGCTCCTGGAGAGCCGCCAGAACGAACCAGCAGCTCCCTGGAGAGGGCCCAGTCCTAGAGCAGACCCTGTTAGGTTGTCTTGTCTTGGTCAACACAGACGCCTTTCGTCACTCCTCCACGTAGTTGCCCAGCTTCCAGTTTTTAAATAGGTAACAGCTCCTGCTTTCTGACTTGGTCCCCTTGTTGGGTAGGGGCCTTGTGGCAGGACTGGGGTTTGGGCCAAGTGGTGATGAAGGAGCTTAATTGAAGGGCTCCCCCAACTCCCTAGAGAAGGCAGACCCATTCATTCCTAGTGAGAGACAGCGCTCTGGCTGCCCACTGCCAGCTTCCTTCATGTGAAGCTTCCTCCTGGCGCCTGCTCGCCCTCCCTGGTGGGCCCACAGGGCCTTATCCACCCGGGCTTTAGGTGCACTGGGTTCTGCTGTTCTCCCCTGGGGCGGCCTCTGCCTGCAGGCTTTCACCTGCAGGCTGTCCCTGCTTGGACAGGGACAAAGATGCCAGCCTTGAGGGCCTTTGAAGGGTCTACTTAGGATCCTGAAATGGGTTTTCTAGAGCATGTGGATGATTTATGAGGCCAGAGGGTCAGGATATGGGTGTTAGATTTTGTGGCTAGTGCATTTCAATCCATTGGCTGTTGGAAAACCCCCTCGCCTATTCTCCACCAGATGCCTGTCTGCTGAGGCTCCTTTTTACTCTTGAGCCAATATGATACCAGCAATGTTTATTAACAATAATTGCAGTAATAGTGATAGTGCTTAATGTGTGCCGGGCACAGTGCCGAGTGTATGCTCATTATCCTCTTGACTGCAGACAGCCATCTTTGGTGAGGCAACCCTGAGACGAGGAGGCGGCCCCGAGCGGGCGGGCACAAGGATTGAGACTTTCAGCTCAAATAGCCATAGGTCAAGGTCACTAGGTGCAACCCCGACCCAGTATCAGTTGGGGCTGATACTGGCATCTCCCTGGCAGCTGTTGGCAGGATTTTATGGAATAACGCACGTCAGCACGCAGCACAGGGCCTGCCCATGTAAGCGCTCAATAAATGCTACTTGTTTTCACTGACCTCAGCTGGTCACTGAGCCCGTGTGGGTGGCCCAGATCAGCCACTACACTGCCACGCGCCCTGCCTGCGGCCCAGTGTACAGTCCAGAAAGCCGCACGCGGTCCTTACAAGAGAAGCGTCCATCTGTAACATCCCCCACAGTGCCTGGGTGCTTCACACTTGAAGGACATCTTGACAGAGGGCAGAGGAGTGGGGTACTCAGAACTTCCCCATTTGCAATGGAAATGGAGTGGTTTGCCTGAGACCCCCTTTCCTGGGGCCACAATGCCCAAAGGAGGAGACACTTCCTCTCTCCTGGTGGGCCCCAATTTGGGCCGGGAGGGCCCGTCCGGGACTCACTGGGCCCTGTTTCCACCTCTGGTCAAGGGCAGAAGTCCCCTGTATGGGTGGACATCTCAAGCCAGAGAGGAGTGGGGAGGACAGGCTGTGTAGCAGCTCACAGCACCGCCCAAAGCCTGCAGGCTCTGCCCGCACCTGAACGATGTGAGAAGAGTCAGGGACCTTGGGTTTCCTCCGTTCCTAGAAGTACACTGGGCAAGAAGCACTGGGGTCGAGTGTAGAGTGTCCTGCTGCGTTCTAGGTCAGCAAAGGATCAAATGGACCATTCATAGAGAACAGGCACAGGATCGCGTGGAAAGAATTTCTGTAATTTGGTTTTTGAATGGAAGTGGTAGAGCTGGCAAGGATGTGTGTGTGTGAGGTGGAGGGGTCGTCATTGAAGGAGGGATGTGGGGTTCCAGGACACCCGTTTCTTCGTCAGGGTGGTGTTGCCCGACGCCAGCAGTGGTGCTGACAGAGAGGACCTGTGACTGGGCAGTAATGTAGAACTACGGACGGGCTGTGGGTCAGTTAGTGGGGAATGAAGACCAGACCTAAGGGCCTACTGCTGGGACGTAAATGATCTCTCCAGTTAATCAGGGACAGGGGCAGGGATTGGGACAGGAAGCAGGAGAACTTGGGTGTGGAGGGCTCAGTAAGAGCAGCAGGCACACGCTCACTCTGCTGCCCCTTGGGGTCCTCTTGCCCTGCGGACTCGTGTTGGGCAGGCTTGGTACTTTCTCCTTGCAGCTAATGGGCCCAGGCACAGAGAATGAGGCTCCCTCTGGGCATCGCTGTAGGTCCCCCTGCAGTAGCCTCCCTGGCCCTGGGGGGTGGCCTGGGGTGGGGGGAGACAGGCTTCTGCAGCCTCCCCAGGGTTCTCCCTCTGTGACGTGCAAAGGGAGCTCAGTTGGGCTTAGCCACGTGGTGATTCTGGCTGACATGAACATGTCTGTTGATTGCCTCCACACCGCTGTCTGTTTCTCTTCTCCAATAGGGTCACGTGTTCCTTGGCTGACTTCGTGCACAGGGTCCCAGGACAGAGGGCAGGTTAGGAAGATCCTCAGCAGGCAGTGTGCATGTGTCATCAGGGGTCCGCTGTGCTGTTTCATTTGACTCCACACGAGTGTCATGTGACTGCCTGGG